CCTGGCCTTTGTGCAGAAGATATTACCTATGGATTTCACATTAGTGATTTTTTGCCAAAGTAGGCATGCTTGGCAGAGCAATATTGTTGTAAAATTAAACATATGTGAAGGTTTTGCAATATGGCACTGGACTGGTGCAAGACTTTGGCATGGGTGAATTGGCTAGAGCAGGGATCCTCAACCTTGGCCACTTTAAGACTTGTGGACTTCAATTCCCAGAGTTGGCAAAGCTGGCTGAGGAATTCTGGGAGTTGAAGTCCACAGGTCTTAAAGTTGCCAAAGTTGAGGACCCCTGGGCTAGAGTACCAAAGCAATTAGTAAAAAAAATTGGTAAAATTCGTAAAAAAAATATCTCCTAGACTTATTGTTTTATAANCATTTCCCACTCCCTTATTGTAGGGTCATGGTTCACATCTTCCAATCAACTTGGAAGATGTGATTTACTTCCGGTTTCTTTCTCCCGGGCTATCCTTATGCTCCTCCCTCTTTCCCAGTTGCTGGTTTAACTATATAAATACCAGACAGTTCTGCATATTGTCAAAGCAAGAATATACAGTATTTGCAGCGTTGACAATAATATTATGGAAAAGTAAAAGTTGAGGTTCAATGTTAATGCTTCCTTCTACTGCGACAGAGGAAGTCAGAAGTCAATGCCTTTTCTTTTCTTTTTCCCTTCTCCCCCTCACTTTTTTCCCTTTTTCCTCCTCACTATGTTCTACTATTTGCTTTTGTATTTTTGTGTTTTATTCTATAATCTAATCAAATGTTACAAACTGTAAAAAAAAAGAAAGAAAGAAAAAAGTAAATTTTTCGGCGATGGTTCCTTTGCTGAATCACTTTCCCTTTACACTGACAAATGTATGATGAATTTCTCAATATTTATTAATATGCACCACTACCTTGATGGTCAGGTGGCTGGTCGGCCCTGCATCCTCTCTCCCTCTCCTCTCTCTCACACACACACCTCCCCAAAAGCCTTTCCTCTTTGCCTCTCACACCACTTCTCTGAGAAAAGCCCTTTCTCTTCTGACTCTTTCTCCAAATCTTTTTTCTCTCTCTCTCCCTCTTTCCGTCTCCCGCCAAAACTGCCTCCTTTTATAGCCTCTCCTGTCTCCGCCCTCCTCCTCCTTTCTCTTCTGGGGTTGTCTTGCCCCAGCCGTCCTGCAGCTCTTGAGGACTCTCTCACGGCAAGTCCTGTGCTGCACCACTTTGGTTCGTTCCCTCCCCCAGCTACCCTTGTCCAGGCTAGGCAGGGTCACGTACCACCTGCCAGGTGCCAATGTACCACCAGTGGTACACATACCACCGGTTGAAAAGCCCTGTCCTATACCATTTTGGACAAATGGCTGTCCAGTCTGTCCTTGAAACCTCCAGGGATGGAGCACCCTTAACTTCTGGAGATAAGCCATTCCACTGATTAATTATTCTCACTCTCAGCCTTTCTGTGGAGTTGATGTCCTGGTCTTGTCCGGCCTCCTAGGAGAGCTGACGTATGTGTAAGTTTGCCCTTGAAGACCAGTGGGCCTTTTCTTTCCTCCAAGAGTAGGTTTGGCCTGACCCTGCTAGCCTTTCACAAAGTACTGAAGACCTGCATGTGCTCCAGAACATGGGGTTGGGAGATTAAAGGGCCTGTGAGATGTTAGCATTGTTGAATGTTTGTTGTGTTTGTTCTCGGTGACCGTTGGAGGTTTTCATGCTTTTGTACTGTAGCGCATATATTGTTAGCCTTCTAGAGTTGTATCTGCGATGTATAGGAATGGTCACATATAAATAGTATAAATAAATGGTATTAATTAATTAATTAATTAATTAATTAATTAATTAATTAATTAATTAATTAATTAATTAATTAATTTTTTGGAGGGCAAAACCAATAATATTATTTAGAAGGAGAGCAATTAACAGTTCTGCAGGTTGCCTGTAGACTTGGCAATAGAGGAGACTGATGGACTCCACTTCTCCTGAATTATTTTATTTATATATCACATTTTGAAATTGCCCATCTCCCTCACAGAGTGACACACCTGTAATGTTTATGGTTTCAAAGCCTCTCTCCGTTTTCTGATCTTAGGACATGAATTGCTTTATGCGATCAGTCAGCAGCAGCAGCGATTCGGCGACCTGCGTGAGCTGTTTGCACGAAGGCTAGCCAGTCACCTCAACAATGTCTTCGTTCAACAGGTGCTGCTTTTCTCTTTTCTCACTTTGGGGCTGGTTCCTCGCTTTCCTCGATTTTTTTAAAATGTGGGCACTCCAGCCTCTATTCTTTTTTGCCGAAATTGGCATTAATTCAGGCAGCTTTGTAAACATATGGCAGATTTGGCTGGGTTAACATAACAGGTGTAGGTAAGAATGGCATTTTTTTTTGTAGCACATTTTTTATAATTAGACCATATGGAAAAAAATATACCTGCGTTTCCCCGAAAATAAGACCGGGTCTTAATTTTTTTTTTTTTGCCTCCAAAAGAGGTCTTATTTTTGGGAGGTGTCTTTTATACTCATGTCTGGCACCGACAGCCCAGCCCAGCCGGTCCACTTCTTCTGACCGAAGGAGCAGCTTCATTCTGCAGCTGCATTCCGGCCTGCATTTCGTAGTCAGGCCTTTCCGGAAGGCCTCTGCAGCCGAGTACCGAGCTATGGATTCAATTCATAGTTCAGTTCTCGGCTGCATAGGTCAGGGGTAGGCAACCTTGGCTCTTTTATGACTTGTGGACTTCAACTCCCAGAATTCCTGAGCCAGCCATGCTGGGTCAGGAATTCTGGGAGTTGAAGTCCACGAGTCATAAAAGAGCCAAGGTTGCCTACCCTGGCATAGGTCTTGCAGAACTGAGCTATGGATTGAATCCATAGCTCAGTTCTCGGCTGCAGTGGCCTTCCAGAAAGGCCTGTGACTGAGAAATGCAGGCCTGGCTGCAGAAGACGCCGCAGAAACGGGCCAGTGAGGAGAGGCCTGGCTGCCAGGTAAGTGGGTGCGGGGTGTGTGGGGCAGCTCCACCCCCCATCCCTGCCCTAGCTTGATTGTTAGGTGCGTGCCTCGCCCCCAAACTAGGGCTTATTTTGGGGGTAGGGCTTATATTAGGCCCATCCCCAAAATCAAGCTAGGACTTATTTTCGGGGTAGGCCTTATTTTCGGGAAAACAGGGTATTAGTTGAGAGCCTTTGATCCAATGAAGGTGAGCATTGAGTCATATCCAGGAAGACACTTTTTATTGTACAATAGCATGAAGATTGACTAGAATAGCCTTTATCCATGTAAGCCTTATGTATTTTACTCCACAATAATAAGATAGTCCAAAAAGGCAGTGATTAATACTGTTATATGGAATGATATATTGCCATCTAAAAGAGGTCTCCTTTGGAGGGTCTAGCATTCTAGAATGAATAAGAAAATAAACAATCCACGGTGTTATTAAAAGGCTATCCATGGCCCAAACATCTGAGCCAGTGTTCTTCAATCTTAATAATTTTAAGATATGTGGATTTTGATTTCCAAAATTCTCCAGGCGGCATGCCAAAGTGAAGAAACCCTCTTCAAAGAGCTGGGCCAAATTGAAAAGCAAAACATTCCAATTGTGAATATCCTATCCAGATTCAACCTTGTGTAGGGCATGATGGATAGTTTTACTATACTATATCATAACCACTCAGTTCCAAATTTGTCCTTTGCACTTGTCTTTCCAGATTTGTACTTAGGTTGGTATTTAGAATACTGCAAACGAAACAGATGGAAATCATACTGTGATGATGCAAAAATATAAAACAATATCCTGTTTTTTTAAGAGAATCTACTTTTCTGGATTATTTATATACATTATTCTGATGATTAAAGAGATTGTTCTGTTTGTTAACTGAAATGTGTGAGTCATCACAAATATAGATACATACCGTAAGTGTTGTAAAATAAATAACTTACGATCACCAGGAGGATTCAAGTAAGAAAATACTTTAATAAAACCAAGCTTTCGTTGGGAGCTCCCAACATCGTCAGGGTTAAAAGCCAGTCATCGGAAACACATTAAATAAGGTTGGCTAGCGTTTGCACCCGGCTCCTAACCTTATTTAAGGTGTTTCTGATGACTGGCTTTTAACCCTGACGATGTTGGGAGCT